CCCAGCCGGCTGTCCTTTGCGGAGGCACCGAGGCTCCGCGCCTGCAGGGGGCAGTGTCGCCCGTAGCAACGAGCACGGGGGCACCTGAGTCAGCGCGGCGGCCCCGGGCCGGACGGGGTTGGCCGAGAGTCCGGCGAGCGCTGGAGCCTGTGGGCTTTACCGTATTTACCACAGCGCGAGACTGGCGCGCCTACCGTATTTGCCACAGCTAACGTGCATTTGAATACGACCACGGGAATAAAATTAAAAACATAATAAAATCCTGATGGGTTGTCTGCCACTCTTGCATCTGTTTCTACATGTTGTTGTTCACTGTACTGCCAGGGAATTTCTCCTGATGACTTTTCAGCTGGGTTGCCCTGTGCTTTCACAGGCTAAACGAGCTAGTATTCTCGTTTGAATCCCAGTCTGGTTTCTCATGTCTCATCTCGCCTTTCTCCTCCAAATAACGCTGGGCCCATGGGGCTCCCCTTCACCGCCCTGCTGGCCGGGTTACAGCAGGGCTGAGAGCCTTTACGGGTCTGCAGCCCGCAGGCGCAGGCCAGGCCGCGCGGGACTCGGCGCTGCCGGGCTGGGCCAGGCCGCTCGCCGCCGGGGCGGCTGGACGCACCTCCGCGTTTGCGCCTTTCTCCATCTAGGGTGTCATTCACCTCTGAGGAGTGAGGGAAATCTCTGCAGGCTGCTCCGCTTCCTGGTTAGCTGGCCTGCTGCACAGGGGCAGCGCCTGCCGCTGGGGATGCAGGTGAGGCTCCGGCCGGCAGCCAAGGAAAAGCCTTTCGGAGCCTGAGGAAAAACCTGTTTCTCCTGCGCCTGCCGGAGGATGATGGCGTACCGAGACCTGGTGAGAAGCTGGCACGAAGGCGTGCTGGCGGCCGATAATAAAGATTGGGACGCGGCCTTGAAAGCCTTCTCCGGTATTGAGGACCCTCCTTCTAGGATTTATTTCAACATAGGCTGCGTGCACCTTATAACAGGGGACTTGGAGCAGGCTCTGCAGGTGAGCAGAAAAAAGAAAAGTGCGGGCAGTAAAAAACAGCAGGATGATGTTTTTCGCTTTGCACTTGTTTTGGCTGAACGGGGAAACAGGGAGGCAAATTCAGGCTGGAGCGTGGAAATCTGGGCTCACGCTATATCCCAGGCGGTTTTTTCAGTGCAGTTGTTGTGTGGGCCGGCTGGGAGACAGAGCTGTAAGGCATCGAACAGGCTTTACAGGGCTTGAAATTCCAGTGGAGAAATGGTCTGAGGGCTCTGTAGTATGTGACACTATTTTTCATGTGTGTTTTGAGGGGAGAATGCCACAAAAAGAGACTTTTCTGAGAAATCTTTCTCAAACCAAAATCCAGGATTTCTTGTTCTAAATGCCTGGCTAATAGCATAAATGCAAGGGGTGATGGAGTGGATGGTGTGGATATCAAATATGGGAAGCACTGCAGCCCTGTGTGCCCCCAGATAATCCTGTATGAATTGTCAAGACCACCAAAAAGAAACAGCAATACGGGGAAAATCAGTGCCTTTTGGAAAGTGAGACCACCCCACTGTGCCCCCTAGAAGAGTGGCATGGCAGAGATGTGCCTAGGGAGGCGCCTAAGAGCCTTTTTTTAGCCCTGGCGGACGTATACGGACTGGAAAGCAGCTCAGTTATACTTCCGTGTAGATCAACGGTTGATTTTCCTCTTCTCTCTTTTATAGCATAGTAAAGCAGACTGTTAAAATTAGGTGTGCTGGCTGAGTCACCAGAGGACACAGCCATCACCCCAGCAAGAGGCACGGTCACTCCCTCATATCCTGCAGCATGTTTTTCACTGCTGTAATACGATCCACCTAGGCGATGTAAAGAAAGTCCAGGGTTTCAGGCTTGATTCGTCGTCTGAGTAACGTCTGCTTGTAATGACAACTGAAAGAGTGCAACCTCCTGTCTTTCTGAGAAAGATGCTAAGGAAATTTCCCTGGCATGGCGTTACCTTGAACCAGCTGCCACGAGCTGTTATCAGCTTTGCTGATACTTGCCTGAATTTAGCTTGCAAACTGGCCAGGAATATTAGCTGTAGGTGCACTGTGTGAAATTCTTCAGTTTTCTCACTTGCATCTTTTTAGATGCTCATCTCCATAGCCCGTTTCAAACAGCCCTCTCCAGCCTGACAGGCTCAACATAATTATTCCTGTCAGTCAGCGAGGCTCAACGGGACAGAAAGAGGTTGTTCAGAGTGAGAGGGCAAACTCTGCTCCAGGCTCCTGGGTCTTCAGATTATCAGATTCTGGATGGCAAATGTGGCTTGTTTGTTTATGTTCTCTTTTCCCAAGGATGATTAGAAATCTGAAGCTCAGCTCATGCCACCTCTTCTGGTTCATACAAAGACCTGAAAGTTCGCTCAGGGCTGTCTTTTCCCCTCACACCTGGATTGCAGCCCCAAGTTTGCTAGTCCAAACTGGCTTGCCGTGAGCCCTTTCTAAAGCCACACAGTGACAGCAGCGTAGGCCTGTGCCTTGTGCGAGACTGCACGTGTAGCACACACACAGCCACGCCGGAGAGTGTCGGAACAGGTTTGAGGGGGCGGGTGGCCTCAACTCCCGGCTCGGAGTGCAGGGGGAGATCGGATGTGAGCAGCCATGCTGGCTGTGTACATGTGCCCAGCCACTGACTCTCGTAAGATCTTAACTGATCTTTGGGATGTGTCTGTATTTTTCTCCTTAGGCATTCGATCAAACAGTTACCAAGGACAACTCTCTAGCTGTTGGCTTCTTTCAGAGAGGGTTTGTCCGACTGCAGTTAGAAATGTAAGTGAAGTGCTTGTCCATTTCATTCTTTATTTTTCTCTTTTCAGTAATAACTTATCTTCCTAAATTCACTTCTTCCAGTGATCTTAAACAGTTCATAAGATCCAGTTTGGCCTTGTCAGCCACATCACAGGTTGGCCCGTATTATCTTCCATTTACAGAGGAGAACTGAGAAGATATGAGTTTCACAACTCTGGGACCCCAGGAGTGGTGGACTAATATGTAACATTATTATCCCATACACAAGGAGAAAGAAGTCACTCCTGCATGTGAGGCTGACAGTTTGTGTTGCCATTCACTTTTTGATTGGGAATGAAAAATATAATTGCACTGGCTGGTGCGTCTTTATATGTTCCATGTGAGCCAGGCCTTCCTAAAAATGCAGTCTGCCCATGCCGTCTGGCACTTGCTCTCTGCTGAGAGTGGATTATGTGGCCTGATCTCGATCTCACTGATTTAACACTGGGATTGCTCCATTACTGTCACTGGATTGATTCCTCATTGTTCCTAGGATTAGACCACAGTGACATCCTGCACATAGAGGTGGGTGGAGTATTTCACAAGTCTCTTTAATTCTTAAGTTCAGTTATTCTCTTTCCTGTTATTTTTCCCATATTTTCTAGACCTTAATTTCACAAAAGGACTATCCTGATTTCTGGAAGTGAATTAAAGTGAGCAGCTCTGCACTCAAAGCCTGCCTAGTCTGAGTGATATGCTGTGCCCAGTGCAGCGGCTTTGGGCAGGGATGGTGGAGTTGTGGTCCACACGCCGGAGCTGGGCTTTCAGCGCGGCGCTGAGGCTGGCAAAACTGGAGCATGCCTCTCCCAGGGCACACATGCTGGGTGATAGATTGGGGTAGCAGACTTGCTCCAGGAGGTGATGGCCACTAGCATCCCGTGGCTCCTTTTCCTGATCATGGCTTGCCAGATGCTGCTCTCCAGCTACCTGTGTTCAAGTGGGCACCTGGAAAGTTTCTCTTGATGGTGTTTGCTAGCTTCTTGGCCAAGTGGATGCTGTACAGTCCTTCCTGGACCCTTTATGTCACCACCTGCGACCGCAGTGGGGACCACTTCTGATTTCCATTGTCCTGCGTAACAGAGGGCTTTAGTGCATCCCTTCCCAGCTGAGGGAGAATTTGCTGCCTTTTTGGGAGCTGAATCAAATTCTTCCCTGAGCAAAACTGGTGTAAATTCCAACTAATTCCTTTCTTTAGAGTGTTACCCAGTCATCACTTCATTTCCCCTGAGATGTCTGCTAGGACAAAGTTGCCAGCAGCGAGCTGGGAAGGGATCACTGCCTAACGCCCACAGGATTTGTTGATCCTTGTTCTTTGCACTTTCTCCTCCTTGAAATTGTGACTGCGCTTCAGATACCAAAAAATACTGTTCATCCCAAACGGTAAAACAGTGCCGATGATCCCAGAGGAGAGAGAAACTATGTTCATTTTGTACTAAAGACCAATGAAGAGAGGACAGGGAATGTTTTGTGGTCACAAGATTACAGACATGTCTCCAGTGAAGCTCTCCGAATCCAGGCTATTGGGAAGAGAATGATTTTCCTTGCTAGCTTGATTCTTGAACTTCCTAATTAGAGTCTATTCATGTTTTCAGTCTCAATGTCATCTCTGCGTTGTAGGTACGAAGAAGCTCTCTGTGACTATCGGATGGCCTTCACTCATCTAAGAAACAATCCGTTCATCGATTACAAGCAGTTGGGGCTGAGACACATACTCAATGCATGGGAGGTAAGGGTCACTCTGTCTCGGTAGTCGTACCCCTCTGTTGGAGATATTCATCAGGTTTTCAGCAAAAGGTAGTAGTAATCTAACTGCCCTTCAAGAGAGTACATTCGAACAAAAGTAAATCTCTGCTTGCACCTTTTTTTTAAAGGATCTTTGAAAAGTTGTAGCAAATTACTCATAGTTTGAAAAGTAAAATTATTCTGAGCAGTTGTACAAGCTCCTTGCATACTGATGTGTTTTTTGGTTTATCTGTGTAAATACACGTGTGCCTGTTATGAACTCTTCCACTCTAAAAGCAGAAATAAGTTGAAGTATAGACAGATGGGAACATAATTTGTTTATAACTGAGGCTTAATTTGCTTATAATGAAGCTCATGTGCATGAAAGCTTGTTTCTTCTGACTACAGCAACTGGTCTGAACATTCCATCTGTGTCTAACCTTACACACTGGGCTTCAGGCTGCTTGTTGATACTTATCACTTCTGCAACACTTCAGTCTCTATCTCTTACACTGTCACATGGAGTGATCCTGCCATATCCTGTTCAAAAAAGACCTAAGCCTGAAAGGATTGTAAATATTTATGTAAAAGTGCAAAGTGCTTTTTATAGAAGATGCAAGCGCGTGACTGTAAGTTTCATTTCTTCTCTGTCTTGAGTCTATGTATGTGGACTGAAAAGCAGATACAGGAAAAGATATTTAATCCTTCACTTCTGCAAGCCTAAAGAGTCATTGTGTGTCTCAATCCAAGCGTGCCCAAGAACTCGTCAGTCAGCTTTGTTCAATTTTTGTGCCCCTTATACCTGGCAGGAAGAAGTTGTACTTGACATTTGTGGTATTCCCTAAACCTGATTGCTTTTAAAAGTTTCAGTCCCTTTGAACAATATGAATGTCCCCAGCACTCCTTTCTCTCAGCTGACACACCCCTTGAAGCAATGGGTTCCCCTTGAAGAGTACCAGGCTGCAAAAATGCCCAGAGTCCCTCAGGAGAAAATCAGGACCTTCCTTGGTATGAATAAACAGCTCCTTGCTTCACATGCTGTAGACATTGCCAGGATTTGTGCTGTCATTGTGCTGACACTCTGGACTCAGGATCTGCACCCTAATTCGACTGTATCTCATTCTACTTAGATCTAGCTATGGTGCTTTTTTTTTAAATGCAAATAAAATCCTCCCAGAGAACTGTGCCATCAGATTTCCCCATGCATGGCCTCTGAAATGCTGCATCTGATCCTCTCAAGGGAGAGAAGATGTGGTGTATGGTTCCAATATCCACAGATTTTTTTGCCACTCTTATGGGCAGTACTTCTGAGCTTGGGGGAGCTGCTGCATCTCAGAGGCTTGAGCGGTAGGTGCCTTGCTTCTCCAAGGGGGAGCATCTCTACAGTTCCCATAGATGTTCAGCTTGGCCATTCTACCCAGAAATGGCAGTATTCTAGTAGCATGAGGAATGAGTGAAGGAAAAGCATCCTGTTATCTGCATCTCTTTTTCAAGCACTGTTTACATCCAGATATTTAAAAGCAACTTGCAAGCCAAGAACCACATAAGGTAACAAGAGCTCTGAAAGGGCAATCTGTTGGGCCACTACTATACACTAACTGTTGGGCAGTGACAAAAAGAGGAACTTTCCTGCTCAAGGATACAGATCAAGGCTTCCCCACCTCCAGTCTGTAATGCTCCCACACCTTGCACATCGGCAAGGAACATACTTATAAGCTGCTAAAGGATAGCAAGCTGCAGCAGACTATTTGCACTTTCACAGCCCACTGCAACGCTGAGCAATTTCACTTAGGTTATTCTGTAGTGAAAGAAAATCAGAGTGATTTTGCACAGTGAAAAAGTATTACCCAGTTGCATAAAGAGAGAAAACCATGCAGCTTGCCAGGGAAGTCCTTTCTGGCCTAGTGTTTCAGTACCTGGTCCCTCTTGCCTAGGTTGCTGAGCGTGGTAGGCTGTGTTGGATTTCTGCTCAGTCTCAGCCTGAGATCCAGGCTGAGATCCTGAGATCTGAGTTAAGATCCATATTGTTCTGCTCCCTCCTCGCTGGTTCTAGGTTCTGTACAGCACTGCAGCAGCGCAGTGCCGGCTGAGGCAGTGGCAGGAAGCTAGAGTTACCTTAGAAAAGGCTGTTGTGTGGAGACCTGAAGGAAGAACAGCAATCCTGGACCTGGCCCTTGAGCAGGTGCAGGTAAGACCACCTCTACGGGCTGTTTCAGGGGGTGTACATTGGGCTCAAGTTACAAAAATCTAAAATATAAATGTGCCAATTTGCATACGTTCAGGCCTTCCTGCCTACCCACATGCTTGGTCACCTAGTGACAGAGTCTAAACCATGTTGGATACAAAGGATGGCTATATATACAGAGGATGTGATACTCTACCTTCTGGGGCTGGTTCTAAATAACAGTTTCCTATTAGACTGAATGTACCTTCACTCTCATATGATCAGGAGAAACTTACAGATCTCTAATTTACTTTGCCTGGAAGAGTCATTATTTTGCTACTTCCATACTTCCTTATCTTATTTGTATCCTTTCTAAAGGACTATAGCTTTTTATAATGTGATAATCTCTTCTAGCGCCACCTTTGTCCTTTGTGTCAGTGTATTATTTATATTTGCAATTTGAATACTACTCTGTGGGTGCACAGACTGACTGAACAGCATTCAAATCAACTAGAAAAAATGATCAGAGATTTAACAAACCTTACTTCACTGCCCTGCCTTCGCACCCATCCAATGTCAACAAAGTCAGCCTGTGACTCAACGCTGGGCAGTGGCCTCTGTGCTTTTGGTTTGCATATGCTTGTTAAATCTAAGTGCCATTTTTCAAACTCACAGCCATAATTTTTGCCCTCATGCCTCCCTGGAGCTGATTTCATACATATAGGGAGGCAATACCTGCTTTTCACTGATGGTACTTTAGTATTAATTGATGGCTTCTCCTTGATTGTCTTTCCATACCCTAGGAGCACCTGTTTTTAGAGGCGATGCAGGTTCCCCTTGGGGAATTTTTCAGACCACGAAAGAAGGAAGTTGAAGAGCTGGATTCAAAAGATTTCCTGGGTAAACCCAAGGTAACAGATAACATCATCCCATTTATGGAAAAATCAAACAGAGCATAGAAAAACTTGTGAGGCCCATGACTAGGATTAACAACAAGCAGATTAAAATCACAACTTCTGACACCTCCAGAGAGCATTACTGCCACTCCACCAGTCCCTGCACTGGTAGTGACCCCAAAGCAACACTCTCAGGGCTTTCAGCCAGTCAGGGCATCTGGGAAACACAAGCTGAGATTTGTTAGAATTGCCCCTCTTCTATCAAAGCTGCACGTTGCTGCTAAAAAGCCTTCCCCATCTTATTCACTCTAAGTCTGAAAAAGCAAAGCAGATACTTAAGTAACCTTGTGATTGTCATTTTGCTGGCAATTACATTTTCAAGAGAAGCATATTCCTCTAGTCCACTCTTACTCACTTCTGCGTTCCCAGCTTGACAGCCATGCACTTGGGATACAAATGTTTTTTGTCATGTAGTTAAAAACAAGTCAGCAGAGAACTTCTCTGATCCCTTCTGTGGCCATGGCACATGGCATAAATGTCATAGGCCAGAGAACTCTTATATGAATAAAGGGAAGGGAGAGTAAGTCACTCACATACTTTTTGAAGAACTTGCTTGGGAAACGGGGAAAAGACAGTTGAAGTTGCTTTTGGGATCCAGCTTTGCACTTTTCATGGTATGCATGGATCTACTTTATGCCTGACCACTAGAGAGGTCAGAAGAAAACGAGTTTGAGTGGCTAGTCTTGCAGGAGGTTTGAGAGGGCCCTGCTGTCTCTTCATGCGGCTTGGATTCAGTCATTAATTTGTCTTCTGGCAGGTGATCTCCTCCATCATTCCCAATGATGAATACATTGGCTTCGAGCCTCTTAGGCCTCAGGTGAGCAGGACATAGCTGTGAAAGGAAGAATGCACAGCAATATCATGTTACTGTCATAAAGCTCCATGTAGGTCCTCAAATCCTGACACCATCAGGGTAAGAACACATCACTGAAAAAAAAGTGCAGTTTCTGCCTGTGAAGCCCTGTATCAGACCAGATAACCACGGGACCTTTCAAAGCCAGCTGGAGTGCTTCGGCATTGGCTGGAGGGGACTCAGGCAATGATGTGAGTCTCCATCCCTTGGAAGATGCGTGTTTGTCTCCTTACCGCATCAAAGCAGCAGTGGAGCCTCTGCTGTACTCCACATACATTTGCGAAGCAATTTAGTAAATTTATCAGCATAAACAAGGCTGGCTTGCACTGTAATATGAATTTCTTAGAGCAAAGGGTAGGGGGGGAAAGACTTTCATTACTCTCTACCTGGTGGGATAAAGAGGGAGTGGGAGAAATGGAAGGTATATTAGTAGTAAGGTGTGGAGTAGCACACTGGAGGCTGTGGTGTGACAAATGGAGTCAAAAGGGGAAGACAGAAAATACCACGGTGTGAAGCTCCCTCCTCTTCAGAGAGCCAATAAATAAGGTGGAACTATTGCTCGACCAGATACTGTTCTAAATAGATGCTGTTGTCCCCCCCACAGAAACAGGGCTTTTATGAACCCAGTGCTGATGCTCTGCGGTAAGTGGCCAGTCCCACCCTGATCTCACCCTTCTCTCACTATTTCTGTTCAGAAAGTCATGTTTTATCCTCTGATATCTTTATTTGAAGACTCTGTATGATCCACACCCACCTTTCCCCCGTGGTGGAGAGAATGCTAAATGTGCAAAAGGCTTGTGTGGCTGCAAGAGATGCTGCAGCTAACAAGAGTTTTGCAGATAGTAGCATCTCTCATGCAAGAATCACAGAGCTTTTTGCAGGAATCAATTCAATGGTCTTGGGAGACACACAGTAATCACGTCATGGCCGGGAAATGGGATTGTGACTCCTGCCCAGCTCAGCAGCAGAGGGTGCTCAGCTGTCCAGTTTTAGTTCCCAGGACAAAACTTCCAAGTGCTGGCTACCAACCCTGCTGTGCTAAGCCAAATTCAGCCCTAATTCAAAAAACATGAGTTATTTGTTTTGGTAATATTGTGCCAACAGTAATTCAGGGCTAAATTTTAGTCATTGTTTTGATTTGGAAGATGTTATTAGCACAATGGAAATGTAGCAGTTGCCTTTGGGAAATTTGAGTGTTTTTCAAGCTCCTTTTGTTCCCAATTGGAACAAAGGAGTAACAATGGAAATCAGAATTTCCTGCTACCTGAAAGTTTTGACACATGCCATTTTGCATCAGTGCAGTGTTTTAGATAAAAGCCGTCCCAGAATCAGAACTCCAAGGCCACTAAAGGTACTTTTCTTCCCATTCTTTCTCTCTAGAGACCATGAATCAGGCTACTATCGAGTTTTATCCCATTACTACCCTGAGGACTCAGAAAAGTTGGCAGTGAAAGCCAACAGTTTGGTCTTTGTGCTGACTAGAGGAGCAGATGGCTGGGCTACAGCTATACATGATGGACAGGTAAGGCAAAAGGATGGATTTCCCAGCACCTCCCGACCAAGAGAGACCAGACCTCTGCCTGTAAGCAGGAGCTCACTGCAGCCCTCTGAGTACATGCCTTTGTGCCCTATCCATGGCACTGCAGAGCAGGGGATGTGTTCACAAGCTCGTTTCCACAGATCAGTTGCTAGCCATAGGTATCTCTGAAACATGGCTCCCACCAGCTTCTCCCATTCACTTCTTTAGCTCCACCAATCCACAATGGCTCTTCTGTGGGCATTTGTGCTTTCTGCCATACAGGAGCCTATAGTGGAATCGGACCTCAGCAGGGAGCACAATTTACAGCAGTACTTGTCATCTGAGAGCTCTAACAGAGCTGAGTCAGGAGACAGCTTGGTTCTTACCTGGTGTGAAATATCTGCTAAATTAACTTTGGAAGGTTTTGGGACCTGCTGTGCAGGCAAGTTTTATAAAGGGCTCCAGGGAAGATCCAAGGAGGTGCAGCCCAGCAAGTCTGACATTTTCCTGTATGGTAGTGGAGCTATAGTATAAATAGATTGCATAGAAACAGATAAATATGACAACACGGGAGAGTCTTTTGTTGAGATAAACCATTCCTTACAAATTTAGTCAAGTTCGTTGAAAGAGTCAGTGCACGTGTGGGTTAGGTCAGTGAATATATTATCTGCCCATATTTCCAAAACACTGCCAAAAGATTATTCATACTCAAAAAAACATCCTGAGCTATTGGAAATAGAGAGATAGTCCTCTGAGGACTGATAACAGATTAACAGGTAGAAATAAAATAAAGGATGGGCATAAATGAACAGTTTTATTAAAGAAAGGATGTCGCTACAGAGACTCTACTGTCACCTAAGCATTCAATGTATTCCTAAGTCATAAAACGAGTGCATCATAAGGCGACAGTGGTCTATGACAATATCAAATCCTTCAAAATACTCAAATTTGAAGCTAACAGTGAAAAGTTGCAGAAGGATTTGAATATGCTGGTTGACTAAAGTATCAGATGAAATTCAAAGTCAATAAACGTAAAATAATGCACATTGGAAAAAAAAATAACTGTAATTACTCACAAGCATCAGTTGAAATTAATAGTTCTAAACCAGTGATTGCCAGAAGGCACAACATGTTGCTAAGCTAGTACCCCTCAATATCCTTACTGCTGTCTCCCTAAGCATCCATCCTAGGCACTGGCTGGTGGGCTTCACAGAATGGCCAAGCTTGGAAGGGACCTCTGGAGATCATCTAGTCCAACCCCCCTGCTCAAGCTTGGTGGCTGTTTGATCTGTTTTGCTGCAGCCGCTCAATTAGTAACATTGCTTTCTGCAGAAAAAGATGCAAAAGTCCCGTCCGAATTTGTTCAGCAATTACTGAACATAAACCACAGTCCTTATCATGGGTTATCCTGCCCTCCACTGGGCCTTATGTGGACACATTCATATTTCAACAGGATGACAAGGGAGTAGTGTTTTGCAAGGACAGAAGTGGTGCAAAGTAAGATGGCACTGGGCAGACTAGGGGCTGCATCTGCCATCACAGCCAGCTCTTGTCTCATATTCTGCTCTGCTTTATGTTCTGCAGAAGCTGCATATACCAACTTCTCTCTTGGAGCCTGCTCCTGCCTCAAAGATGGATAAATGGGTGAGATGCCAACCTTGCAACTAGTAGGAGAGGAAAGGGCCAAGAAATACATTGAGGACATTTGTTTGTAAGATTATCACAGGATAGGATAACTGTGTGATATTAACATTAAAATGTGTACTTTTTCTGTGCCTCTGATCTCTTTCCTGCAAAATCTGAGGGCTTAGACACATGTCCAGCTTTAATTTCAGACTGACCTAGGTATTGTTATCTTTTATTTGTTGTGGCCTGATGGAGCACACAAACATGAGCAGCTGCCATGGCTCTGCTGACCCACTGTAACTTGCTGAGCCACTGAAACGCAGTGATGAATTTGAGGACTTGAGGCACTCAGTCAGGTAGCCTCCAGCCCCTTCCTGTGATGTCTGCAGAGTGACCAGATTTAGCACAGAAGCAGGTGAGAAGTGTCCACTCTTGCAGTGGGACAGTAACATCTTAAGCAAGCACAGCTTCTTGCTTAGTGGTCATGTACTTAAGCCCTGAGCTCTCACCTTTCACTTAGGAAAACTTCCTTCATCTCCCCTCTACCCCATAGACATGTCTACACATGATCCTGATCCCTTACCGCCTGAATGCAAAGCGGCCAAGGCATGACTCAGACCCCAGTACTGTGGTTGGGGGGGTCTTTGAAGCACACAGCTCTTCTGATATTGCTGTCATTTTCTCTTCCAAATTAATCCCTGTCTATGGCACTCACTTGTGCTTTTGCTGCATGGAGACTGGCCTTTGTCTGGACCTTTGCTCTACTGGTGTCTCCCTGTGAACCAGCCCAAGCTCAATCAGATGAGCCAGCAGAGCTGGGAGATGGTGAGAAGAGCCTTCAGTGCAGTGTGAGCAGCCCCTTCTGCTCCAGCAGTAAGCCAGGAAGGGACAGGAGGCCAAGTAGCAAAGCGACCCACGAACCCACTCATCACCATCTGCTACATGATAACCATGAGAGCTGCAGTAATCCTTAAGAGCCTGACGGCTCCGCTTCATCCAGTTGGTTAATGAGCTGGTCTCCCCAGGGCTCTGTCCAGAGCTCCATACAGAAAATTATGATCTACTGCAGCCTCTGTCCTGAGCAGTGGCTTTGCCCAGTTTCTGGTGTCTTCTGCTTAATGTTTTGCTGTGTTCTGTTGCAGAAGATCAGCAATGGGATTCCCCTCCCTCCTGCCAAGGTGCCTCCTAGCCGACTCCATGTGAAACAAAAGCCAGGTAGCCCCTGGGCCAAGGATGTCGATGGGTATTATGTGAAATTGCTGTGCCAAAACTCCACTGCTTTAGGGATGTGTGGGGAGGCTGGCTGCTTAGTGCAGCAGTGGCTGCCTGTATGCTAGCAGGTAATAACAGTTTGGGGCCTGTGCTTTCTGAATGTACTGTTTATGTGTTTTGTTTTGTTTTGTTTTGTTCTGTTCTGTTTTTTCTGTTCTGCAGAATCTCCTGAAGGAGAAAATGCCTCTGCAAATGATGATGGTTCCCAAATGGACTTTAAGGTGAGGTATTTCATAAACCAAAAGTTTCACAGACTAAAGCTGCCACATCCTCAAGAGAACAACGTTGTAAAAACTGCAAAGGGGATTCCTAGTCGGATCCTCCAAAATTTCTGAGCTGCCCCAAAATCACTGGAAAAACTTATGTCCATTTTCCCATTCCAGAGACAGGCTCTCATGCTCTGTCTTCAACTGCGCCCACATCTGTGACTGTACTACTTTGTGCAGCAGGCCAAAGTTGTGGCTTACCAAGGCAGTGTCCATTTGTCATCTTCCAAGGAGCTAAGCTGTGCTGGCTGCCGCTGCATCAAGTGCCCAAGGCCCAGATACAAGAGCATTCTGTCATGCACTTTGCAGCCCATTTTTGTAGGAGAGCGCAGTCTCTGAACTACCCACTCTTCCCTTTCCTTTCTTTGTGTGTGATATTTTCTATCTTTACCAAACCAAGTAGCCTTTTTCTGGGATGATGTCCTCTAACACATCTCCATATCATTACCAACCACTGTGCTCTATGCTGGAGAGTGCAGCATATCTGAGGGAGCTGGAATCACTGCTGTGTCCACATGGGGACAACACCTTTCTGGGTCACTGTCAGCTGCAGATCCCCATCAGCCTTGCTGCCTTTGTCTTTGCCACACGTCTCTAAGTGATTTTGGAGTCATCTTTTGTCATCTGTACTTTAAACAGAAAGGCAGCATCTCTCCAGCTGACTGGAAGAACTGGGACCCTGCTTGTATAGGCAGAGGCCTGTATGGAGTTGGGAGAGGTCTGTGCCATCTGACCCAGAGGCAGGCATCCTGGATTCATAATAGGAACATTAGATCCTGGGGTTTGACCCACCACTGTTCCTCCTCTGAAGTTCAGATCTGCATTTTGACGCCGCACTATCGTTACGTGTTAGAATTGAGCTGAGAGGTTTGTGTCTGTGTCACTTCTCTCAGTATGAGAGAGAGTCCTGAATAACCAGGTTGTCCATTGTGCCATATTTCTCAACAGATCCCACTGGCACAAAAAGAAGCTTTATCCGGCACAGACAGACCCGTTGTACTGAGAGTTCACTGTGACTGTACCATAGCAGTGAGAGCAGGTGAAGTGCCATCTCTGCCAGACCTGCGGGCTATGCTGAGGGAGAAGTTCAGCCAGCAAGCAGAGCAAGGGAAGTTGAGGTATGCTGTGGAACAGCTGGAGGACATCTATGCTCTCAGTGCAGGCACTGAAGCCTGCAGCATATCGCAGAGAAGCAGCAATAGTGGCCACTCAGTGAGCCAGGGAGGCTCTGGAGACCCGAAGGATCTTCCCAGGAAGCTGCACAATGGTAGAGAAACAGGAGGGAACACAAAAAAAAACTCTGTACAGATGCAGCTGATTTATATCTGATTTTTCTCCAGCTCAGCTCAGCTTTTAAAATACACTAGGATCAACACAGAGCAATTTAGGAGTCAGATATAAGTGTGAGTTATTCCTGGCCTGAGGTGTCCCTGACTGTAACATCCCTGAGGGAATGTAGTCAGTGTAGTGAAGAGAGTTTAGGATCTTACCCTCAAATTAAGTATCCATGCACATGAGTTACTCCCTGACAGGGCCATATCTGCCCGGTGAGTATGCAGGGAGCCACAGTGACAAGCTCAAGAGTTGGTTTACAAAGGGGACTTTATAAGACTCAGGGTTGTAGAGTACTAGAATTGCCTCTAAGTTTAGCTTTAAGTCAGGTAATTTGAGCCATCTCAATGAATCATTGCAGTTACAGGCATTCGGACAGCAAAGAACTGGTTGCAGTTTTGGGAGAGGAAGACCTGGGGAAGATGTGGCAACAGTTGGCAGACAGCAGACTGACACTCTGGTGCGAGGTATGTGTCCTGTGACATACTTTTATGCTGTGCCGAACTCTAATCTCTGCTTTGCCTTGCAATCTTACACTGGCTTTCTCCTGTAGGGCTCAGATTCCCACTCCGGCAGACCGGTCCTCTACAGGATGCTGGCTCAGCATGGTTACCTTGCTCAGGGGCCAGGGGACCTGGAGTTCAGCAAAGGAGACATACTGGACATTCTTTCTGAAGGTAGCTCTCTAGTCCTGTTCACAGGGCTGTGCTGGGCAAGGCTTTCATAGTCTGTTGCAGGGAGGGAGTGGGGACAGCCAGCAGTAGATGGCATCTCTGCAGTGCTATTTCAGGCTCAAGCCTTCAAGATGCGCGAGCTTGCACTGTTTTTTGCCCAGAGTTGGATTGTAGCCATGAAAACTCTCGTTAGCCTGCTCCTATGGGCTGTGGCTCATGCTGCTCATTTATGTTTTCTCAGTGAACGAGGACTGGCTTGAAGGACACTGCAATGGCAAGACTGGCATCTTCCCCAAATGCTTTGCAACTCAGTCTGGTTGTGGTGCTACGTTTTTATAGGCAACAGGGACCTGTTCTTGCCAGACTACACAAAGAGCCCACTGCCACCAGTCCTGCCTCCCATGGATCAGAGACACTAGTGCCAGCTCATTCTGGCCACAGCCAGCCCAGCAAGGTGCTCTAACAAAGCTGGCAGCACTGAACAGGAGATGACCCGCAGCTATGGATCCCATAGGGTCAATTCCAGCAGTCTGGCAACATTTTCTACCGGCTGTTCCAAAACTTCACATTTTTGCCTCTGTTCTCACAGTGCCAAAGATATGTTTGTATGGGGCAGGGAGAAGAGTGAAGGATTTTGTATTTGGCTACAGGAAATTCCCATGCAGCAATCAGAGGAGCCCACCTTCAGGAGCTCAGACTAATGGGTGGGAAGAGGTTCCTCTAAATGGAGGAGGTTACCACTTCTTCCTCTGCTGCTCAAGTTCAGGCTGGGGAGGCTGAGCATCGGTCTGATGAGGCTCAGCACAGCCATCTGTGAGCAGGAGGCAGACCCAGTTCCCTGTGCCATATATTCTTATTTGCACTGGAGAGCAAGCTGCTGCTCTCTTTTGAAAGCCTTCTGTAACCAGTTTGTAGTGGAGTATATGGGGTGACATCAGAGGTTAGGCCCACCAGGTATCATCTCCATGTATCATCACAGCAAATACCCTGTGGATCTGCAAGAGGGCAAAGGGCACTTGGCACTTCTGTGCCCGGAGGCCCTTGGTTCTTTTTTGAAGTCCTTGAAAGTCCTATCCGGATTTTACTGCCCCATCTTGTGTGAGCAGCAGTCTTGCAGCATCCAGAAGAGGAAGCTGTGGAAACAGCCCTGCTCCCTGTGAGCTCTGGCTCTGGGCTCTGGCAGAGGCAGTCTCTTGGAGGGGCTGGGGAGAAATGATTGTCTGGTTCCTCCAGCTGAGCTGTGCTGGGTTGTGCTGTTTTAAATAAAATACTCAAGTGCCTGGAGCTGGAACCTGCTATGGATTTAGTGTCTGACTAAGCTGGGCTGTTTAACCTGAATATAAAATAAACCCTGGACCAGTGTTGGCGGCTCTTAAATCAACTGCTGATTATATTTTTTCGCTGAAATATGCCAGTAAAAATTTTAAAGACTGATAACAGTCTGTCCTTGGGAAGATATTCTGTCACATATTCAAAAAAGGAAAAGAAATGGATCTTGCTCCAATTCAGGGTGTCTATTCCAGCGCCCAGGGCAAGATACAGAAAAGGTCACCCCCTTCCCTCCTCAGAGCAGTGCCAGGATGTGGGCCTCAATGAGAGTTTTGCTTGTCACCACTTTCTGCCAGCACCGATTCCCTCCCATGACTCTGGATGACTCTCTGCAGGCAGATTTGGCCTGACTCTTTCAGATGAGATGACTGTGAAGCAGTACAGGTTAGTTGTACTTCCTGATCTGCTTCTGGCATCCTGCAACTGCAGAACCTCTTCCACCATCCCTGCACCTCACCTGCACCTTCTCATAGAGCTGTGGGGCACCCCGTGGGAGAGGACTGGAATTGCCAAGGGATGGAAACTGTCTGTGTGCTAGGCTGGAAACCTCAATAGCTAGCAACCTCCAAATTTGAAAAAGAAAAAGAATTTTATTTCTAGTTTGAATTTATCTGGCTTCATCTTCCAGCCACCAAGTCTCAGCCTTTGTCAGCCAGATTGAAGAAGTTTCTCGAGGCAGGAGTCTTCTCCTCTTGGAGAAACGTAGAGAGCTCAAGTTGCCTTTGCCATCTTTGAGGTATTCACAGAGATTACCCAACCGAACCTCCTGAGCAATGCAAAGGGTCTTATGCCCTCATACTTCTCCACCTTCCACCTTCTCTCATACCACTTCTTCCTGCCTGGTTCGTGGGCAGGGCTCCCCTAGCCAGGATCCAGGGAGCTACTTGGGCTTCCAGAAACACTGGAGGAAAATGGCCACCAAGCCCACCACAGTGGTCAGCACAATGAAGAAGATGGCACTTGCCCAGAGACCAGGCTGCTGCCCCTTGACATGCACCAGAGCTTCCGCGGGGATCATGTTCGTGAGGTTCAGCATGAAACCCAGAGTCCAGCCAATGTCCGTGTTTGCTGCCTGAGACAAGAGCAGAAGGGATCATCAAGAAGCGCCTTTCCCAGGCAGTGGTAGCTTTGGCATAGGGGACTGACAGGCACCTCTCCCAGGAGCTGCCCCAGCTATGATTTCACATATGGATCTGGCTGTTGCAAACCTGGCCTTACTAGCACTAGTTACACAGAGAGCTTTGGCTATTTTCCCTTCCCCAAGGACTAAAGGGGAGCTGAACATGGATGACTGCTGTGGTCCAGATGTGCCCTCTGTGACCTGCATATAATTTTGGATTGGAGCTGTCCACCTCCATGATCCTTTGAGTTTGATTATATTGTGGTGCAAATGGGTCGGGGGGCCACCGCCCCCTCTTGTACACTCATATCGGTTCTGTCATGCATCAGAGATCAAAGTTACCAAATCCTGCTCTGCCCTTCTCTGATCCCCTTAAAATTAGCTTCTGTCTTCACTGGAGTAAATGAGAAAAGAGTAGGTGTCAGAGGCTTTTGGGCAGGTAGAAGTGATGCTGTGCAGGGATCACTGGATGGCAGGCATGAGGCAGGGACACACTTCTAGACCTGTGGACTCCAGGGATGCTTCTCCTGAACATCTCTTCCTCCTCTTGCCAGCGGAAGGATGCATCCAGCAGCTGCCTGCCCCACCTCCCCCTCCCCCTTCAGGGCTTTTACCTGCCTGCTGAAGTGGATGCTGCTCCATGTGTGCTCATCAAACTTGTAGCCATCAAGTAGCAGTGTTAGGATGTAAACAGCCATGGAGCAGTACATGTGCAGGCGTTCCTTCTCCTGAGGAAAGTTCTTCACCAGCTGTGAGGGCCATTGGGGGACAAAATGCAATGAGGAATAAAACAGATGCTCAGAAACCCTCCCTGCCACAGGGAACAGCATGGTGTTCTCTTCCTGGGCATCCCAAGCATCGCTCTTGAGCAACCCCATTACTGGAGCAGGGACATCAGTACCAATAATTCCTTTAGCCACATGCTCTTTCCAAGGAGGAGCTGCTGAACTGCCCCTTCCACCCCTAGACCAGTGCACCTGCACATGCATCTGGCACACTTGACTGTGGAAACAGGTGTGGGAACCTCCATATGAGGTGGCTCGCCAAAGCTCTCCTGCGCTCCTAAGCCCAGAATATCGGGCCTGGACAGGCACAGGGCTCCTAGCTGCTCTTCACAGTGCTCTTACCTCTTCCCAAGTGTTGCTGCAGAAGTTCCAGATTGTAGAGTTGACATGGCCTAGGGACTGCTGGCCAGTCAGGTTCAGGAAGTGGAAGGTATAATAGAACCCGGAGAAGGCCTAGGGAAAAAAATAAGACTGTAAAAGCTACCAAGAATAACAAGAGCTATATCTCTCTTCTCATCCAAAAGAAGGCCCCTTTGCGTCTCCTCTGGGTTGTGGTCAGCATTGCCAACTCTGCCTTAGAGGAGTGGAATACAAGGGCAAAGGACAGGAAGGGGGCTGGCTGAGCTAGCTGCAGAACATCTCAGTGCTACTTCTTGGGGCAAATCCTAGCCTGATCCAGGGTCTCTTCTAGCCAGGAGACAGAGTCTCAGGTATTCCCAGGGTTCTGCATCCAGCACACGCTTGATGATCTACCAAAGACTAGGAGCTAGTAGACAAACCCCAGGCCTGCTGCTTGAGTTTGGGAGCCTGACCAGTTCAGATATGTCCCATGGGAACAAGACTATTCTGTTTTCTTCAGGTAGGGCTCAGACATTGCAGGAAAGGGAAGCCATCTCCCTGCGCAAGAGGAGAGTTTTGCAGATGGGACCAGCTCTGGTGTCTGCTCTCTCCCCTGCTCCCCCACAAACAGTGGAAGAGGAAACTCCCAGCCCCTGTCCTCCCAGTGCCACAGCCACATGGATGGAGGGCTCCTTACAAAGAACTGCCCCCGCACAGGTGGCTGATAAATGCCGTTGAACCCGCATGTCCGGTGGGCCCCGCAGGAGAAGTTGAAGAGTTTCTGGATGGCGGTCCTGCATGCCACTGGGTCTCCTGTCCCCGACACCATGAGGGCCTGTGCAGTGCCGGGTGTGCTCGGCGTGGGGACACAGGGACTGTCGTAGAGGGCTGCCACGGTGATGTTCTCCTGGTATCCCTTAGGGTAGCAGGGGTGCGATATCTGCTGGGGAGACGAGCTGTCCTAGAGAGAGCAGGAGCCGTTAGCAGTGCTTGGCTTGGGATGGCAGCCAGACCCCTCCTCCACAGCCCATCCTGTGCTTAGACCCTCCCAAAAAGCAGGATCTGGACCCCAGGGGGATTTGGGGGGAAGCGGGATACATCCTTTGCATGACTTTAACCTGCCCACAGCAGGATAGTTCTCCCTCTCTCCCCCACTGTAGCATCCCAGCCTTTGAGGGTGCTGCTGTTGACCATCTCCATTCAGGACTCCCTATTGTCTCTGAGCTGAGCTGTGCCGCAGCTCAGCCCCCTGCTGTACCTCCACGCCTATTTTGGGGGGGTCGGGGGGGGGGGGCGGACGTGTTTGGCGCCTAGGACCCACCCACACCTCATTCCAGCTGCTTTGCAGGGGAGCCTCAGGCAAGACACCTCTCTGATTAGCCCCCCAATGCTGATGCCTGCTAGTCAGTCCTGGAGACTGCTCCCAATGCTGAAATAGTGAGAGATGCTGTGAGAATGGAGCACCTTGGAGGTCAAGGTCTGTCTGGCACACTGCTGAGCACCCATGCATCGAGCACATACCAGCTTTCAAGGTGTCAATCATTCCTGGCACTATCCAGAATTTTCTTGTACAGCAGATTCCTCTGGGCTGTTGCCAGTCTCTGCTATCCCAGAAACCCCACAACCGTACCACAGCCACATGGATGGAGGGCTCCTTACAAAGAACTGCCCCCGCACAGGTGGCTGATAAATGCCGTTGAACCCGCATGTCCGGTGGGCCCCGCAGGAGAAGTTGAAGAGTTTCTGGATGGCGGTCCTGCATGCCACTGGGTCTCCTGTCCCCGACACCATGAGGGCCTGTGCAGTGCTGGGTGTGCTCGGCGTGGGGACACAGGGACTGTCGTAGAGGGCTGCCACGGTGATGTTCTCCTGGTATCCCTTAGGGTAGCAGGGGTGCGATATCTGCTGGGGAGACGAGCTGTCCTAGAGAGAGCAGGAGCCGTTAGCAGTGCTTGGCTTGGGATGGCAGCCAGACCCCTCCTCCACAGCCCATCCTGTGCTTAGACCCTCCCAAAAAGCAGGATCTGGACCCCAGGGGGATTTGGGGGGAAGCGGGATACATCCTTTGCATGACTTTAACCTGCCCACAGCAGGATAGTTCTCCCTCTCTCCCCCACTGTAGCATCCCAGCCTTTGAGGGTGCTGCTGTTGACCATCTCCATTCAGGACTCCCTATTGTCTCTGAGCTGAGCTGTGCCGCAGCTCAGCCCCCTGCTGTACCTCCACGCCTATTTTGGGGGGGTCGGGGGGGGGGGAGCGCAGTGATTGGAGACTAGGTAATCTGAGCCAGGCAGTGCCAAATCAGGTGCCTGGACTCCCTGTCCTCGCCTCACTGGATGTTGCATAGTGCTGTCAGGTCAGCGCGACCTCCAAGGACTGGCCAGCAAGAGCGCAGGCTGAGGAAGAGGAGATCCGCTACAAAACGCCAGGGAGCACGGGGAGCAAAGCACACCATGAAGCACAGTATGGCCTTTCCTGCCATGTATTTTACCAGGAGCAAACAAGTCACCTCTTGTCCAGCAGAGGACTTGGTGGCTTTTGACACCACTCCAGTTTCAGTGGAACTGGTACCCGGGAAACCACCCGTGCCAGGGAACACTTCATGCCCATGCCTGTGGGGATAGGGAAGAACCGGAGGATACAGCCGGGCTCAGGAAGCAATTTGTTTTTGCAACAGAAAATGTCATCACAAAAACAAATACTGGGGAGAAGGGAGCTCTGCCTCCTCCTACCCAAGGGAGAGCATTTTTTAGTTCATGAGATAACACCTGAATTCATGACAATTTCCA